TCTGTTGCATTACAACCTGTAATTTAAATGGATTTTTATTTGGATTTCATGTAATGGACAGACACAAAATAGTCCAAATTGGTGAAGTGAAATGAAAAAAATTACTTGTTTAAAAAAAGTCTAAAAATTAAATAACGGAAAAGTGGTGCTTGCATATGTATTCACCCCCTTTGCTATGAAGCCCCTAAATAAGATCTGGTGCAACCAATTACCTTCAGAAGTCACATAATTAGTTAAATAAAGTCCACCTGTGTGCAATCTAAGTGTCACATGATCTCAGTATATATACACCTGTTCTGAAATGCCCTAGAGTCTGCAACACCACTAAGCAAGGGGCACCACCAAACAAGTGGCACCATGAAGACCAAGGAGCTCTACAAACAGGTCAGGAACAAAGTTGTGGAGAAGTACAGATCGGGTTGGGTTATAAAAAAATATCTGAAACTTTGAACATCCCACGGAGCACCATTGAATCCATTATTTAAAAATGGAAAGAATATGGCACCACAACAAACCTGCCAAGTAAGGGCCTCCCACCAAATCTCACTGACCAGGCAAGGAGCGCATTAATCAGAGAGGCAACAAAGAGACCAAAGATAACCCTGAAGGAGCTGCAAAGCTCCACAGCGGAGATTGGAGTATCTGTCCATAGGACCACTTTAAGCCGTACACTCCACAGAGCTGGGCTTTACGGAAGAGTGGCCAGAAAAAAGCCATTGACTCCCCAAACATTTGGAAGAAGGTACTCTGGTCAGATGAGACTAAAATTGAGCTTTTTGGCCATCAAGGAAAACGCTATGTCTGGCGCAAACCGAACACCTCTCATCACCCCGAGAGCACCATCCCCACAGTGAAGCATGGTGGTGGCAGCATCATGCTGTGGGAATGTTTTTCATCGGCAGGGACTGGGAAACTGGTCAGAATTGAAGGAATGATGGATGGCGCTAAATACAGGGAAATTCTTGAGGGAAACCTGTTTCAGTCTTCCAGAGATTTGAGACTGAAACTGAGATTCACCTTCCAACAGGACAATGACCCTAAGCATACTGCCTAAGCAACACTCGAGTGGTTTAAGGGGAAACATATATATGTCTTGGAATGGCCTAGTCAAAGCCCAGACCTCAATCCAATTTAGAATATGTGGTATGACTTAAAGATTGCTGTACACCAGTGGAACCCATCCAACTTGAAGGAGCTGGAGCAGTTTTGCCTTGAAGAATGGGCAAAAGTCCCAGTGGCTAGATGTGCCAAGCTTATAGAGACAAACCCCAAGAGACTTGCAGCTGTAATTGCTGCAAAAGGTGGCTCTACAAAGTATTGACTTTGGGAGGGGTGAATAGTTATGCACGCTCAAGTTCTGTTTTTTGTCTTATTTCTTGTTTGTTTCACAATAAAAAATATTTTGCATATTCAAAGCATGTTGTGTAAATCAAATGATACAAACCCCTAAAAAATCAGTTTGTAAGGCATCAAAATAGGAAAAATGCCAAGGGGGGTGAATACTTTCGCAAGCCACTGTATATTGTTCTCTGACAGGAAGCTGTTTTCTAATAAAGTGTTTAATAAAGAACATTTTTGAAGAAGAAAATAGTTTAGTTTTTATGCTTATTGTTTATGAGTGTGGTCTGCGTATAGTTTGGAGCAACTGAAACATAAAACTGAATGTGATCATAAGGGCAAAAAGAGGTCCACATTTTCCATAGTTCGGGTGGTGTGTGAAATAGATAGAGGACTCATCTTTATATCTGTGGCATTATAACGTCTGTGACAGCATGGGCAGGCTACAAGCCATAGAAATCCCCACCCATTTGACCATTTTGACTACTTTAAAATGGCGGAAGCATGGTGGAAGCCCTCACTGCCCATGCTAAAATAGCCTTTTGGCCACTAGAGGCCTCTATCATTCTCTATGGTGTCACTGCTATAAGTCGGTACCGGTAGTGGGCGGAGAAGGATTTGCGCTTGGCGTGACTCTGTGATTGCCCGCTCTCTCTCTCTCTCTCTCTCTCTCTCTCTCTCTCTCTCGCTAACGCTCACACACACTTACCCTCGGCAGACAGGACGTCATGACTGCGCTGAATTGTCCGAATCAAGTTGCTTCATGAATGTGGTAAGTCTTTCTCTTGCTCTCTTTTTCTTCACTCTCTCTAAATATTTATAGCAATAACCTTTTTCCATTATTAAATATTTCTGTCCGACATTAGGCATAAGTTTTCCCTGACATGAATGTTACATTTATTTTAAAAGTGATAAAACATTGATTACTAGCAGTGCTGTGTAGGTTATTCAACTATCAATATGAGAGTGCTCTTAGCCCACTAAATTAGGCTTATGTGACTACAGTCAAACATTTGGACTATTTTAGCCCACACAGCTACAAGGATGTGCTTTCATGCTAGGTTTAGGACCTCATTTTGAAGCTTATAGAGACCCCAACTGATGTATAGAACAATCTTAAAATTATCTACTTTTGCTTAGATATAAGAATCATGAAACCTCTAACACAGGGCTCTCCAACCCTGTTCCTGGAGAGCTACCCTGTAGGTTTTCACTCCAACCCCAGTTGTAACTAACCTGATTCAGCTTATCAACCAGCTTAATTATTAGAATCAGGTGTGCTAGATTGGGGTTGGAGCAAAAACCTACAGGACAGTAGCGCTCCAGGAACGGGGTTGGAAAGCCCTGCTCTAACACAATAAATTCATTTGGTGAAAATCATTTTTTTGGCCTAACATGCTTTACATTTTTTCCATGTGGTTTCTTCCTTCAGACTCCATAAAATGATGACCTCTTCCTAAATATTTGGTCAAATGATACATTTTGTGTATGGTTTCCTAGAAACAAGGGTGGCTCAACTTACCCCTTTGGCTCAATATGCCCAACTCTCCCCTAATTAGAATCTACTGTATGTTCATATCGGTAGCCTATTACTCGGGTTCTAATTCAAATATACTGTTACCGCTATGTGATTTAACTTATAATGGGATTTTATTACTTTTTCATCACATTTAACTTGTGAGAGTTACCTAGGCTACCCCATGTCAAAAAAACGGAAAACAATAAAGTGAAATAAATCGTGTTTTTTTTTTACTATTTGAATGTAAAACACTGTTTCTAGTTGTAGGCTGTCTTGTGAGACTTTGGAAAACTTTTTGATGGCACGTGATATAACCTCAAAGACGTCTTTAGCGTGCAAGGTATGTAGGCCCTACCTTTTCTCTGATATTAATAGAGGTCTCTTCTGTTGTGTTTGTCTGAATATCATGTTGTCAAATGTGATATATATTATGTTCATGTTCAAGTTCAAAGCAAAAGTTTATATATTGCTTTACACCCTTTGAGTAAATCAAAGTCAAGTTGACAAGACAACTTTGGGCAGAAGTTAAATGATATCCATTTATTCTGTGTTTAGTAGGATGTTGTGAAGGCTTATTCCTCATAAGTTAACACACCTATTCAGAAGAGGTTAGGGTTTCTCTCTATGAGAGAAAAGCTGCTGGACTGCTCTCTACACAATAATCCATAAACTGACCTCAGCTTGGAAGTTAATTAAGATGCTTATATTCAATATTTTACAGTATATCATGTTCTATGACAGAGGTACTTTAAAATAAATGTTTCCATGAGTTGAAAATGAAGTGTGTGCGTGCATGCATGCGTGCGTGGCATGGCACTGACCTGTTACATGAACATGAAACCCCCATGAGCATACATTAATGCCTGTATGTTATCACACAGCTAATATACAGGTAACTGCCATTATAAAGGCAACACCAACATAAAGTGTCTTAATAGGGCGTTGGGCCACCATGAGCCAGAACAGCTTCAATGCACCTTGGTATAGATTCTACAAGTGTCTGGTACTCTATCAGAGGGATGTGACACCATTCTTCCACAAGAGATTCCTTATTTAGTGTTTTGTTGATGGTGGTGGAAAAAGCTGTTTCGGGCGCTGCTCCAGAAAGTGTTCAATTGGGTTGAGATCTGGTGACTGAGATGGCCATTGCATATGGTTTACATTGTTTGCTCATCAAACCATTCAGTGACCACTAGTGCCCTGTGGATGGGGGCATTGTCATTACATTTACATTTGAGTCATTTAGCAGACGCTTTTATCCAGAGCGACTTACAGTTAGTGAGTGCATACATTATTTTTTTATTTTTATTTTTTTCATACCCCCGTGGGAATCGAACCCACAACCCTGGCGTTGCAAACGCCATGCTCTACCAACTGAGCTACATCCCTGCCGGCCATTCCCTCCCCTACCCTGGACCAATTGTGCGCCGCCCCATGGGTCTCCCGGTCGCGGCCGGCTACGACAGAGCCTGGATTCGAACCAGGATCTCTAGTGGCACAGCTAGCACTGCGATGTAGTGCAAGGCCTATGGGGGTATAGCCATGGTAGCCACAATAATGGCCTGCCCAGCATTTTTATACATGACCCTAAGCATGATGGGATGTTAATTACTTAATTGACTCAGGAACCTATGTGGAAGCACTTACTTTCAATATACTTTGTATCCCTCATTTACTCAAGTGTTTCCTTTATTTTGGCAGTTACCTGTAGATCATGTTGCTTTGAGAGTACTCATGAAGTAATTTATCTTTGTATGATTATCTTGTCCTTTCTTCTCTTCTGACTGTAAATAAGATGTGCCCTCTTAGTGAATGTTATCACAGAGCTAATAGTAATTTCTCTTTGTGTGATTGTATCCTGTGCTCTCTTACATGTTATTATAGGTCTATGGTTATCACAGAGCTAATAGTCATTTCTCATTGTGTTATTGTCTTGTCTGCAGAATGAAAATAACATGTCCTCTTACATGGTATCAATCAGCTTATAGTCAAATAGACTCCCCCTCTCTCTGCAAAAATGAAATAAGATGCTTAATAACATAAGCTTGCATGCTATTAGCATGCTATTAGCTTATATTAATAGCTTATTGACATAATTACAGTGCACTGTTCATTGAAACTGTTCTTGTTTCTTCCTCTGCAGAATGAAAATAAGATGTGTCCTGTTACATAAGTTGAGACGGAGGTGCTTCTTGTTGTCCCTGTCCCTGCTGGTGGTGTGTCTGCTGAAGCTGGTCTACGTCAAGGTGAATGAATGAATTAACGAATGATCGATCAAACAAACAAACACATTTATTTGACACATTTTAAACACATATAGAGTTACCTCAGCCATGAGATTACTGCAATACCACAAAATACAAAAAGTCAACAAACTTATTTCCATTGTGGTCTACTTCAAGGTGATGGTGAGGAACAGCTTCTACATTGAGCCCTATGGAATCACCGCCAGCTCTTCACGGATCCCCAACCACCAGTATGACATCAACTGCACCGCTATCTACCAACTAGACCCTGTGGAGATAGGGAAGAGTTTGGAGATCAGGCGTAAAGTCATCGTGGACTTGGAGGACGACAGCATCGTGTCTTTGACCTTGGACTGTCAGAGGTACTTGTGCTTTCTGGACTGTACTTTTTAACTTGTCTAATTATGTATGTATTTATTGTGACTGTCCTGTGATTGTTTTTAATGTTGTAAGTTATTTGTATTGTTCTACTATGTCTATAAGGAAGACAACCCAATTTCCTCTTTGGGATGAATAAAGTACAATCTCATCTGTCACATCAACTAATCTCAGGTACATCGAGACGAGAGGATATGATGTCATCCCGGTATCAGAGGAGGAACGGAGGTTCCCGCTTGCGTACTCTCTGGTGGTGCATAAGAACGCTCCCATGGTGGAAAGGATCCTCAGGGCCATCTATTCCCCTCACAACCTCTACTGCATCCACTATGACCAGAAGGTAGGGCTGGCAGCCAGGTAGCCTAGAGGTTAAAGGGGAGGGTTTGGTACCTGAAGGTTGCTGGTTTAAATCCCGAAAAATCTGATGGGATATGAGCTGACTACTTGAAGGTTGTTAGCAAAAATTCCTAAAAAGATAACATCTCCTGCTGTTGTGGCCTTGAGAAAGTCACTGAACCCCTAAACTGCTCAACGAGTGCTGCACTGTAGTTGCCCGCTGCGCCAGCCTTTCCAACCTAATGTGAGTGGGTTTGTTTATGTTGGAGGGGTTAGGTACAGCAGAAGACACATTTCTGTCTCGTATGGATTAATAAAGTATTCTTCTTCTTCTAGTCCTCTCAGAAATTCATAGCAGCTATGAGGAACTTGGCTCAGTGTTTCCCCAACCTGTTCATAGCCTCCAAGCTGGAGTCTGTGCAGTATGCCCACATCACCCGGCTAAACGCTGACCTCCACTGTCTCAACGACCTGCTGGAGAGGTCAGAGGTCAAGTGGAAGTATGTCATCAACCTCTGCGGCCAGGACTTCCCTCTCAGGTAAAAACCCCACATTTTTACATCCATCAGAACAAATTTTACTCATTACTTTTAGATGAGCTACTTCTATACTCCTTAAAATGCCTGCCAAATATCGGAACTCAAAGTCTAATAGATCATGAAGTTAATTAGGGGATCAAGCAGCAAAGCTGCGAGAAAGCCTATTGTATTTGTTGGCAAGCTCATTGGCTTATAGCGGCCATATTGTTTGAGCTATGTTCTTGGAAAATATTGCATTAAAGACGTGGGTCCATAGATGCTATGTACCAAATTTGGTGCCGAACGGTCCAGCAGTTCTGGAGAAAAAGATGTTTACAGTAGTTGACGTCATTACAAATGGTCAAAAATTACAGGGTATGAAATCTGACCACAACCTCTGTCTCCTTACACACACACCTCATGGTCGAACCGATACAGAGAAGTGCCGTAAGGGGGCGCAATCTTACGATCCAACAGTCCGGAGACAAGAGCTGTTGTACCACCAGTGCCAAAAACCAAGGCCAGGCATCTGAAGGAGGCTGAAAAACTCTTATGTATCACGTGCTACACTGTAACTGCCATAGATCAAATATTTCAAATAACCCACCAAGTTGGCCTTTGAAGATAGTACAGTAGTAGAACAAAGAATGCACCTGCAGCCGTGTGAAGTTGCCATGGTCTCCACTTACTGGGACAGGTGTATAGAATGTTTTTTATCCCCAGTACAGGTGGTTATTGTGTTATTTGTGGTAAATATCCCTTTCCACTTGCTGTTTAGGCTTTTAAACACACACGTATACTAGAGAAAAACAAGGCGGGGAAAAAGAGAGCGAGAAGGTGTTTTGCATCTAGCAGGGTTGACGCATAAAGTAACTGCTGACCAGATACGTTTATTTATATTTTGTACCCCTTTTTTTGTGATATCCAATTGGTAGTTACAGTCTTGTCCCATCGCTGCAACTCCCGTATGGACTCGGGAGAGGAGAAGGTCGAGAGCCATGCGTCCTCCGAAACATGACCCTGCCAAGCCGCACTGCTTCTTGACACACTGCTCGCTTAACCCGGAAGCAAGCCGCACCAATGTGTCGGAGGAAACACCGTACAACTGGCGACCGTGTCAGCGTGCTTGCGCTCTGCCCGCCACAGGAGTCACTAGAGCGTGATGGGACAAGAACATCCCTGCCGGCCAAACCCTCCCCCAACCCGGACGACGCTGGGCCAATTGTGCGTCGCCTCATGGGTCTCCCGGTCATGGCTGGTTGCGACACAGCCCGGGATCGAACCCGGATCTGTAGTGATGCCCCAAGCACTGCAGTGCCTAATACCGCTGCGCCACTCGGGAGGCCCACATTTTCTTATTTTTAATAGCCTAAACAACAAGTTTGGAATGTTTGGCTTGTTTGACTGAAAAACTAAACATTTGCTTAGCTATGTACAACAGAGATGGTGGGGGCTTATTGGTGCCACCCTCCCCCCCAGCCTTAGTTAACACACCTGATTAAACTAATTGCATTCTAAACGGTAGACCATGATTAATTGATTATTGGAGTCAGGTGTGTTAGCTGGGGCTGGGGCAAATGTGCGTCACCAATCAGGCCCCCGAGGAGTGGAGTTGCCCATCCCTGATGGACAACTTCATCATTAGAGGTTCAGGCAGCGAAGCTGCAAGAAACCTTATTGTATTTGTTGCCGTTCATTAATATTAGGGGTACAAGCAGCGATACTAGGGGTTAAAAATACAGCCATGTGGTATGGCCATGGTCCAAATGACGTGGCCAGATTGCTTGATCTGTTTGATTTTGAGGTGTGATATTTGGCTGGCTTGTTAATGACTACAGACGTAACTCATCCAAGGGTAATGAGTCAATTTTGTCTTGATGTGGTGTTGTGGTTCCATGAAGCTTGAACCCCGACATGGTTGCTTGCAGCTATATTTTGTGGTTGATTTTGTAAATGTTTTAATGATGTTGATGTCTTCTTCTCTAGGTCGAACGGTGAGCTGGTGTCGGAGCTGCGGGCGCTTAATGGTGCCAACATGCTGGAGACCTCCCGTCCCAGCGAGCTGAAGAAACAACGCTTCCGTTTCCAGCACCAGCTGAAGGACGTGCCCTACGAGTACCGCCGTTTACCCGTCCGAACCACCCATGCCAAGGCGGCGCCACCACACGACCTTGAGATATTCATCGGCAGCGCCTACTTTGTCCTCTCACGAGACTTTGTCCGTTACGTCGGAAATAGCTCTGTGGCGAGGGAGTTCCTGGAATGGTCAGCTGACACATACTCTCCGGACGAACACTTCTGGGCGACACTGGTGAGAATCCCTGGTGTACCAGGAGAGATCCTCCGGTCTGCCCCGGATGTGACAGACTTAAAGAGTAAAACGCGACTGGTGAAGTGGAATTATCTGGAAGGGTCTCTGTACCCTCCCTGCACAGGGACTCACATGCGGAGTGTTTGTATCTACGGGTCTGCGGAGCTGAGGTGGTTACTAAACTATGGCCATTGGTTTGCTAACAAGTTTGACCCCAAAGTGGACCCTGTGCTTATTAAATGCTTGGAGGAGAAACTGGAAGAGAAACGGAGACACTGGGGAAACGCGGTGCAGAAGTAAAAAAATAAATAAAATGGGAGAATCAGTTGATTTGTTGGTTTATTTGGAAGATTTACTCATCCTGCAAATGCACTGTTGAGGCCCTTTGCTCCACTAGGAGCTACAAGGAATAAGTCAAAGTTAAGTGGCAGGATATTGCACTTGGTCTACAGAAGAAAGGTCTCTTTCCAGTTGCATTTTATGTCTACTGTATACTAGTTCAAACTAGTTTATCCGGCTGTTTTTTAATTGAAATGAATTGTTGAAGTTCAAGTGAACTCTTTGATTGAAAGGCTTTGCCCAACAGTTTTTTTTATAATGTCAAAGATGGACGTTTCAGAGGATAGTGAAACTAAACTATTTCTACACTACTAGTTCTGTCATGGATATCACAAACATAAAAACAGAATCAATTATGCCATCATTGACTTGAAAGGGGAGGTCCATTCTATAGATTCTATTTCTATGATCGCTAAGACCTTACTATGATGTCACATGTTGCAATAACACCTAATAGAATGTCTCATCTTGATACCAGATGAAATGAGTTGAGATTGAATTGACAGTAATGGATGTTATTCTCTAAGATACTTTCACATGGGTAGAAATGCAAAACTCTTGACCAAACCTACAATACCAAAGACACTCAAAAACTGTAACAAAAACTGTACATCAAAGCTGGATGTCAGGTTTTTAAAGTTTACATGAAAACACACCAAGATTATACTATTTATTATCAATACGATATTATATTTGTCAAGTGCAGAGTTTGATACAGTAGTAAGTAAAAAGGTTGACATCTCTAATCATTAATTATTTATTTCTTAATAAAACTATCACTCTGAATATTTTCTTAAGCCATGATTCATTAAGTCGTTTTAGTTGGTCAGCATTAGGCCACTTTATCTTGTTGTTCCCTACCCTAACAGGTCCATTAATAATAGGTGGCTTGGCTTAACTTAGTAAACCTACGAGGGTACGTTGCCTCACTAATCTAGTGTATAGAGTACCTTTTTATTAATAACATAATAGGTACAGGATGTTCTTCTACATGGCGATGCCAAGGGATATACAGTACCTGAAGTTTAGGGAGTTTTATCTGGTAGGTAGGCTTTGTATTGAATTGGGGTAAGCTCAGTGTTGTAAATTGGGGTATACACTGGTATTCCCCTCACGCTGCCTGCTGCTGTGTCTATCAGTACTTATTCTTTATACAAACTTTAATCTCCTCTATGGCGTGCACACAGCCCAGGCTCCCAAAGACTGATGACTCTGCAAGACTAATATACATCAAATCTGTGTTGGCCGGGCAGGACGAGACAAGCCACTATAACTCAGGCTGCCTGGTCTACAATCTGACTCCAGCTCTGGCACACATCTCAGTGCAGCCAGGGAGATAGAGAGGGAGGGATGGAGGGAGAGAATGAAGGAGGGATAGAGGGAGGGAGGGAGGGAGAGAAGGAAAGAGGGAGTGAGGGAAAGAGGGAGAGAGGGGAGGATGATGAGAGGAGGGAGAGTGGGAAGGATAAAGGGAGGAAAGGAGGGATGGAGGAGAAGGAAGGAGGGAGAGAGAGGAGGCAGGGAGAAAGGGAGCCCCTCCTACTACTGACAGGCCAAGAAAGTAATGTGTACCCCTCCACCCTGCAGCTTTAAACAGATGACACGACTCAGCCCTGGTGCTGTTACCAAAGCCATTGCTTATGCAGACGGAAATGTGATAGTCCGTGATGTTGTTTCACAGAATCTAATACACTAGGTTACCACAACAAACGATTTAGCATCTAGCAAGACAGGTGGTTGGTTTGTGTTGCAGACAGGGCTGGATGCTAAGCTCCACTGTGTTAATCAGGTGTCATCTTTCAGAGTGGGACTCTTAGGCTGCATCCCAAATGGCACCCTATTCCTTATTCAGTTCCCCAACAGGGCTCTGGTCAAAAGTAGTGCACCACAGTATAGGGGATAGGGTGCCATTTGGGATGTAACCTTACTGGAGTGATGGCAGAGGGTAATCAAATGGCAAACAACTTGTCACATCATTTCTATATGTGCACAGAACAGAGCTTATTATTTAACAATGGACACATTTTTAGGCCATTTGGTTTCTATGTTTTGAATTGAATATACAGTATTTCATGTGATATGTGTAACCATGTGATTTATGGACTGCAACCCAAACTGCTACTTGCTACACATCATTTGTTGTGAGTGACAGCTGAATATGACTAGTATTGCTAATGCACAGTAATACAGACAAGTACTTTATCTGTCTCTATACAATACTACTAATGCAGGTTCATCTGATCTCCCTGCAGTCTCTGTGCCCACTACAACCATCGATGGCCACTAGATCATCGGCAGTTGATCTCTCGTTAAAGGGCCACTGCACTTCCTGATTTGGCCTCGGTTTTTCATCAATGCTCATTAAGAAATGCTAGCGGCCATGACAGAAGGTAAACGAGAGTTGTCGTGGGGGTGTGGTTTGATGTGGATGTTTCTTGGGTGTGTCTTTGCCATTCAATCACAACAAACAAGTGCAGTAGTGAGTACAGCGAGGTAAGCGAAGCTAGTTTTGCTATGGAGAGAACAAAGTTTTGAAGTTGAGGACTCTTCCCCTCCTGACTGACTCGCCATCTGAAGATGATCAGTTAATTCAGCTCTACTGTGCTTTCAGAAAGTATTCATACCCCTTGACTTATTCTACATTTTGTTGTGTTACAGCCTGAATGAAAAATTGATTAACCTGATTTTTTTTTTCTCACCCATCTGCACACGATATCCCATAATAACAAAGTAAAACATGTTTTTGGAAAATGTTGCAAATGTATTGAAAATGAAATACAGAAATATCTAATTTCCACAAGTATTGAAAACCCTGAGTCAATACTTTGTAGCAGCACCTTGGCGGCGATTACTGCTGTGAGTCTTTTTGGGTAAGTCGCTAAGATTTGCACACCTGGATTTTTACAATATTTTCCCATTATTCTTTTTTAAATTCTTCAAGCTCTGTCAAGTTGATTGTTGGTCATTGCTAGACAGCCATTTTAATAATAATAAATAATATGCCATTTAGCAGACGCTTTTATCCAAAGTGACTTACGGTCATGTGTGCATACATTTTTACGTATGGGTGGTCCCGGGGATCGAACCCACTACCCTGGTGTTACAAGCGCCATGCTCTACCAATTGAGCTACAGAGGACCATTTTCAAGTCTTGCCATAGATTTTCAAGATGATTTATGTCAAAACTGTAACTAGGCCACTCAGGAACATTCAATGTCATCTTGGTAAGCAACTCCAGTGTATATTTTGCCTTGTGTTTTAGGTTATTGTCCTACTGAAAGGTGAATTCATCTCCCAGTGTCTGTTGGAAAGCAGACTGAACCAGGTTTTCCTCTAGGATTTTGCCTGTGCTTAAAGCTGTATTACGTTATTTTTTAAATCTTTGACAAGCATGCCCATAACATGATGTAGCCACCACCATGCTTGAAAATATGAAGTGTGCTACACAGTGATGTGTTGTGTAGGATTTGCCCCAAACATAACACTTTGTATTCAGGACAAAAAGTACATTTATTTGCCACATTCTTTGCAGTATTACTTACTTGTTGCAAACAGGATGCATGTTTTAGAATATTTGTCTTCTGTAAAGGCTTCCTTCTTTTCACTCTGTCATTTAGGTTAGTATTGTGTAGTACCTACAAGGTTGTGGATTCATCCACTGTTTTTCTCATATCACAACCATTAAACTCTGTAACTGTTTTGAAAACACCTTTGGCTCATGCTGAAATCCCTGAGCAGTTTCCTTCCCTCTCCGGCAACTGAGTTAGGAAGGACACCTGTATCTTTGTAGTGACTGGGTGTATTGAAACAGCATCCAAAGCCTAATTAATAAATTCACCATGCTCAAAGGGATATTCAGCATCTGTTTAAATTTGATTTTACCCATCTACCAATAGGTGCCCTTCTTTGCGAGGAATTGAAAAACCTCCCTGGTCTTTGTGGTTGAATCAGTGCTTGAAATTCACTACTTGATTGAGGGACCTTACAGTATGTGTGGGGTACAGAGATGGGGTAGTTATTACAAAATCATGTTATCCACTATTATTGAACACGGAATGAGTCCATGCAACTTATTATGTGAGTTGTTAAGTACATTTGACATAACAGAGGTAGAATACTCATTGTCTCAAGAAATTTCAGCTAAAAATGTTGTATTAATTTCACAAAATTGCTTTATACTATTCCAGGTATTCCTTAAAGAGGTAGGGTTTCAAGTGTCTCCGGAAGGTGGTCAGTGACTCCGCTGTCCTGGCATCGTGGGGGAGCTTGTTCCACCATTGGGGTGCCAGAGCAGCAAATAGCTTTGACTGGGCTGAGCGGGAACTGTGCTTCTGTAGAGGTAGGGGAGCTAGCAGGTTGATGAACGTAGTGCCCTCGTTTGGGTGTAGGGTCTGATCAGAGCCTGAAGGTAAGGAGGTGCCGTTCCCCTCACAGCTCCGTAGGCAAGCACCATGGTCTTGTAGTAGACGCGAGCCTCAACTGGAAGCCAGCGTTCTGGATAAGTTGTAGGGGTTTAATGGCACAGACAGGGAGCCCAGCCAACAGCGAGTTGCAGTAATCCAGACGGGAGATGACAAGTGCCTGGATTAGGACCTGTGCCGCTTTCTGTGTAAGGTAGTGTCGTACTCTGCGAATGTTGTAGAGCATGAACCTGCAGGATCGGGTCACCGCTTTGATGTTAGCAGAGAACGACAGGGTGTTGTCCAGGGTCACGCCAAGGCTCTTTGCACTCTGGGAGGAGGACACATTGGAGTTGTCAACCGTGATGGTGAGATCATGGAGCGGGCAGTCCTGCCCCGGGAGGAAGAGCAGCTCTGTCTTTCCGAGGTTCAGCTTGAGGTGGTGATCCGACATCCACACTGATATGTCTGCCAGACATGCAGAGATGCGATTCGCCACCTGGTTATCAGAAGGGGGAAAGGAGAAAATTAATTGTGTGTCGTCTGCGTAGCAATGAT